GTTTTAGTTTTTCTATTTTTTTTTTAAACTGCATTATTTGCAAGAGTTGTTTCTTTTCGTTAAAACTGCTTTTATCAAAACTTGCATCTTTTTGTTATACCCGTTTTGTCAAGGTCTTTTCATTATAACTATTTTGTCAAAAATTGCGTCTTTTCGAAAATAACCGTTAAGTAGTTATTTTTCTAGTTATTTTTCGAAGTAACCGCTTTATGGTAATCCCTGGCTTGCGTCTATTCAGAAAAATTATTTAGCCTATATATATATATATTAGTTTTTCGGTTTTTTTTGCATCGCATTATGGTTATTTTGAAGGGTTGCATCTTCCCGAAAAAACCTCTTTATGGTTATTTGAAAACGTTGCATCTATTCGTTAAAACCGCTTTGTCAAGAGTTGCGTTTTTTTCAAAACGCTTAGTTTTTCTGTTTTTTTCAAAAAATCGCTTAGTCATCATAACTATTTTTTTCAAAACGCTTAGTTTTTCTGTTTTTTTCAAAAAATCGCATTATGGTTATTTTGAAAGGTTGCATCTTCTCGAAAAAACTGTTATATGGTTATTTTTCGTTAAAACTGCTTTGTCAAGAGTTGCGTCTTTTTGTTGAACCGTTTTGTCAAGAGTTGTGTCTTTTTATTATAACTATTTTTTCAAAAGTTGCATCTTTTTGAAAATGACCGTTAAGTAGTTCTTTTTCGAAGTAACCGCTTTATGGTTATCGCTAAAAATTACATCTATTCAGAAAAATCGATTAGCCTATATATATATTTCTGTTTTAATTTTTCTGTTTTTTTCAAAAAATCGCATTGTGGTTATTTTGAAGGGTTGCTTCTTCTCGAAAAACCCGCTTTATGGTTATTTGCAAGAGTTGCATCTTTTCGTTAAAATCGTTTAGTCTAGAGTTGCTTCTTTTTGTTGTAAATGTTTTGCCAAGAGTTGTATCTTTTCATTATCACTATTTCGTCAAAAGTTGTGTGTTTTCGAAAATAACCACTTTTTGGTTTTCTTTAAGAGTTTCGTCTTTTCAAAAATGAAATATTTTTGGGTTGTGATTTTTCATAAAAAACCATTATGTAGTTATTTTTCGAAATAACAGCTTTATGGTTATCGTTAAGAATTGGGTCTTTTCAAAAAAATCGTTTAACC